GTGGAATATGTCGAGACGGTCCTGTTCTTCCTCGTCGCACGGGAGCGGATAGATTCCTCTCCGGTAGCCATGGTACATTCGGCCGTTCTCTTTGTGATTCGGGTATTTCTCGGGTATCCTGTTACAACAGAAGTCAGCCATTGAATCCACACAATTAAGTATGGAGTGACATACTTGCGGTCGGAAATTATGATCGGAGATGATCGCGATATTTGAGATGTATTCGAGGTGTGGGATGCCTGTGTAGCCACCGATCCATTGCTGGTGAAGCGAGCGTTCCTGCGAGGATCTTTATCAACCGGATCTCTGTCGATCAGCGTGTACAAGTCCATCGCGGAAGACGGTTGTCGTGATCGGGTCCGATCACTCGCCGCCACAGAGTGCGAGTAGTATCTGGAGTGGCCGGCATCGCTCCCCGGGGTTGACTCGGACTTGTATCGTTTGGGCGGAGGTGGAGAATTTATGGGAGGCAGGTGTCGCAGCCTGGAGTCCCCGTTCGTAAACATCTTCGGCAGCGATGTGCGGTCAGGCGCGGGAAAGGAACCAGAAGACTCTCTGTAAGACATCGTGCTGATATCGGCGATCAATCAATGATCGCGCAAGATATCTAAGGCGGTTGTGAATTGGCCGATCATGCCAGTCGTGGAAAGAAGACAAGAAAAGAGCAAATTAGCTGCGAGGCAGCCAAAGCACACGAGCCAGTGTGAGGGTTAATTGAGAGGTTCCACGATAGGGTGGATTCTGCACGGTCGGATGAAGCTCAGGGATTCAACCCAGGAAACTCAACAGTTCAAGATCCAACCTCAGCTCCTCTCGAAAGAGAAGGAAAGAGAAGGAGTTAAGGTTGTGAAGCTGTTTCTTCCCGGGGGCCCACGTTAGCGGGGTGCGGGTACTAAAGAATGAAATCAAGGCTGAGAGAAGGGGAAAATATGAAAAGAAGTCGGGTGCAGAATTCGGTGCAGAAGTACGGAGTACAGTGGAAAAAAGGAAAAGTACGACCCGCGCTACCGGTACTGTGAAGGGTACTTGATGGGAATATTTGATTCGATTCATTATACGGAGTATCCATGGACTCTATACGGGTAATCCCATATGAATGTTCCCAATGTATATGCATATTAATTATATTCTTATCCTACACCCTAGAACACTGAATGATCTAAATCAATATCCTTAAATACATATAAATCTTTTAGAATGGAAATAAATTCAACTCAGAATTACTACGTACTCCTCCGTAACTCCGTAAGAGCTAGATCGACACGAGAAGAGTCCACTAGCGGGATGCGGACCGTCTGGGCCTCTCATTTCCAGGGATCCATCCCATTTGGGGCCCAACGGAGTGGTAGAAGGCGCTTACAGAAAGGTAAGAGTAAGCGTGGCGTCCTGTCTTGACGGAGGACGGAGTACTCCGTATTATCTTTATATCTCTGGGGAACCTTGGAATGTGTACACATTGATGTATGTATGTACTCCGACTGTCACACAAATAATATGCATTCTCTTAAAAAAAGATCTTGCAATTTGTCCTGAGGAATCCCCTCACCGTAACCCAAAGCCCCGGGTCCATGGGTGCGACATTCGAACGAATCAAGTGGGATACCGCATCTTTGGCCAACTTAGCTGCATCTTTAGCTGCATCTCGACCCTGGTAATCATTTACCATTCTTTTTGTGATATGTAAGAATGACCCTAAGACCATCGCACTGGGTCATGACTCGTGTCAACCTTGGAAGGCATTCACATTTATTTTCTTCTTCTTTCAATTTACATAGATCTATGTTACCCCTGACCACGTATATATCATGCATTATACGTGTCGACATCCCTTGATAATGATGGGTGTTTCCCCCATGTATTTGGCTTCCCATGACACCGGGTCCCGGCCCGGCAATAAAACATATTTAAGGGGATTAGGTATTTTGTACAAAAAAAATATGGCGTCAAATCCCGAGCTCTCTCCTTGCATGACACATACTCACTTAATAACTAGTTAACTAGGTGAATATACAAAGTTGAATATTTTACGCTCCGGGGTTTGCCGCGCTGATCGTTCCAGCCATCGCGCCGACTCGTCATTGAGGGATATTGATCGTCGGCGGCCCAGGCTCAGTAATCACTGGTACTTTTTACTGACAGCTCATGGATTGGGTTTAGTAAGATTGCATGCTGCATTCGCGTAAATTGTACTCTTTCTTGCCCCTGATTCTTGGGAAATGGAAATCCCTTTTCAATTTTTATTAAGCCTAGTCTTTTATATTTTGTTATATGTTATATGCTAGTTGGGTAGACAAGTTCGGAGTGAACACAGGATGTCCCCATACATTGATGTACTACGGAGCCCCACGTCCCGCTAGGAAATTTTCCCTCCAATTCCCGTCACCATCAAGAAATCGATTAAATTGCTACAATAATACGTAAAACTCAAGTATCATCATAACACGGAGATATTAATCGACTCGGAGACATTATCAGAGACATTAATCACTGCCCCTCACATCACAGAGGTATCACCCCAGAGATCAATATCTCCACATCAAATTCAAGGAAATCCACAGGGAAACGGGATTAGCTCCCAATTCCACAATGCACACACTCAAAGCAGTGGCCTCATCGACTCTGTCGCTACCGCCGGATAATTACATCTACTCAATCGTCCCGTCAGCGCCGGGGACATTCGCCGCCATCTCGTCAGATGATTCGCTGCGCGTGTTTGACGCCGCCGATCTCGATCGCGGGTCTGTGGTCTCGAACGCTACGCACAATGGTGTCACATCGCTGCGGAGCTTCGCCATGGGCGAGTCGCACCTCTTGGCTACGGGTGGCCGTGATGGGAAGGTGAAGGTTTGGGATGTTCGGGCTGGGAATGGGAGTCCGGTTGTGGAGATGGAAACGGGTGAGTTTGTTTTGGTTAAGCTTTTTTTTTATTGTTTTCCTTTTAGGAATGGTTTTAGGTATCTATTGCCTCTTTGGGTCGTCTTCGGGAAGCTGCTTGGACATGTGCATTTTGTGTTTTGCTGCATTTCCGCTGGCCTGTTACTGGTTTTCGGGGAATTCATCGGCGCTTGGAATTCAATGATGGTCTTTGCCTGGGGTTTTGTTTTCCTACCTAACGCAGATTTGCTAATACATTGTCTATGTCTCTAGCGAAAAGCTCGCCTGTTCTGTCTGTGGCTTGTAACCCGGAGACAAACACTGTTGTTGCCGGAACGGAGCTTGTCTCTTCACAGGCGGTTGTTGCATTCTGGTAGGTTTCATCTTATACTTCAGTTTCGATTCGAATGCTGGGCCCAGAATTATTCACTCAATAATTATATCGGGATATGTCTTTCCAACCCCCAGGAACAGCTGTGCTCTATTATCAAAACCCAGTCTCACTAACCAACAAACAGGGATATCCGATCCCCCCAGGAATTCCGCCTCCAATACGTGGAGAGCCACAACGACGATATCACCGAGGTAAGTGTACCTCCAATCCATACCCACATGCAGCACCAGCCAGACTAACCATTACATCGGCACCTTGCCTGTTACCGGTGGTACACAGCTCCAATATCACCCGACGCGCAGCAACATCTTACTCTCCGGCAGCACGGACGGACTAGTCAACATCTACGATACAACCGTAACAGACGAAGACGAAGCCCTGGTTCAAGTGATCAACCACGGCTCCGTACATCACGCTGGGTTCCTGTCGGAGCGCACCATCTTCGCCCTCAGCCACGACGAACACTTCTCTGTGTACCCGGCCACAGACCCAGACGATGCCTCGCAGGAGCCCGAGCCCGTGCATTTCGGTGATGTGCGAGACCCGCTAAGCTGCGAGTATGTTGCGCAGTTGTGTGTCGGTGCCCAGGGGCCGTATATCGCCGCTGGGAATAAGATGTATGTTTCTTGCCTTACTTCTTGTGTCTTTGTGTTCCGTGGGAAGAAGTCATAGCATGCACACGTTGCTGTTATGCTTGTGCTTTTCTGGGTTTTTCGTGGGCTCGTGGGTGTTTGCTAACTAATGTCTTGCAGTGACAACCGTCTCGATCTTGTCCCACTTGTTTCCAGTCCGTCGTGGAAGCTAGACTGGGATAATCTGTGGCGCTTGCCCCGTGCTCATTGCGAGGAAGTTGTGCGCTCAGTGTGTTTGGATGAACAGGTACGTTTTTCAGGGAATGGTTCTTGTTATGTGTTATATCTGTTTTGCTGCTTTTGGCTTTCGTTCTTTATAACCCTCGCTAATCCAACTACTTCCTCTATCAGAGTCAATCGGTTTTCACATGTGGTGAGGATGGCTTTGTGCGAGCATGGAGGCCTGCTGAGGAGAGTGATGCCCAGGTCCAGTCCGGTTCCGTGTCTGGGTCTGCAAAGGCTCGCCCGAAGGAGAAGAAGAAGGATAGGTTCAAGCCATACTAGTCTGTGTACTGTGTGCGGGTGAATGCATTTGTTGCTGACGGTTGGCTGTTGTGTATCATTAGGTGTTTGGGTGTGGGTAAAATTAGATAGTCCTGCACTTGGATCATATGAGGTTATGTCGCTATTATTCGAATTGTTGTAGCGTGTAAAATAAGTTGGTTGTTGTCGGGTCGGCAGTATCTATTCCATTCAGCTTGGAAATATATTCTGAACTATGACCTCTGTTAGGGCATAAATTTTGAATTTAAACCACATCCGTTCTGAACGTTACCAATTGAACCTGATTTATGTCGTCTAAATCGCAGCCTTTCAAAACACAAAAAAATAAAATAAAAAAGTGAATCGAAGGCTCTATAGAATGAACAAAAACAGAACCTTGGAAACCACCTGGGCAAAAGAGCCGGGTTACTAAGCTCCAGGGCCCACCTGCTTATCGCCAACATTTTTTCTCCGTATCGAAACTTTTCTTGACAACATTTGAAGGGACCAGCTCCCTCGAGTTCCCTCTGCAATCCAAATATACAACCTAATCTCCCAACTGAAATACCCCAAGATTCGAAACCAAACCCCACCTTCAAGGGCAAACACACCACAACATGGACGCCCAAGCCTACCTAATCAAGCACGGCTGGTCCGGCCCGGGCAACCCTCTGAACCCAAACCGACGACCAGGCGCACACAGCGGACTAGGCCTCACCAGACCCCTCCTGGTATCGCGCAAAGCCAACAATCACGGCGTCGGCAAGAAGACAACAAAAGACCCGACGAACCAATGGTGGCTGCGCGGGTTCGAAGATGCGTTGAAGGGCGTCGGGAACGACAGTTTCGAGGCTAACTCCGCGCGCGAGAACAACGCATTGACGAGCGAGCTATATCGGCATTTTGTGAGAGGGGAGGGGTTGGCTGGTACGCTTGAAGGGTCGGAAAAGAAGGAGCATGAGAGCGGGACGTCTACTTCTACCTCCAAGTCGAAGCGGAAGCGGGAGGATGGGGATGAGGGCGATCGCAAGGCTAGGAAAGTGGCCAAGGCTGCTCGGAAGATGGAGAAGGCCGAGAGGAAGGAAGCGAGGCGTGTGAAGAGGGCTGCAAAGGCCGAGAGGAAGGAGAAGAAGATTGCTGGGAAGCTTGCGAAGAAGGCTTTGAAGGAGAAGAAGAGGACTGCTTCTGAGGAGGATTATCCGACTCCTACATCGATTGATCAGGAATCTGATCAGACTGGGCCGGAGACGACCGAGACTGATGAGGCTGTTACGCGACTAAAGGAGAAGGCGGCGGAAAAGGAGAAGAAGGAGAACAAGAAGTCTAAGAGCATAGAAAGTGATGTGAGCGCGGAAGACTCAAAAAAGAAATCTAAAAAGGAGAAGAAGGATAAGAAGGAGGCTAAAGCCTGATGTCTCCATTTCGTTGTGACCATTTTGATATTAGAGCGCTTCACATGCATGTCAGGACCATGTACAAAGTTCTGCATATACAGTTTTCTCTTACGCCATCTAGAAATCAAGATACCCTTTTTGTTTGGCGAAACCATGACTGTTGCAACCGTCGAAAATGTAATGTGCGGACCTGTGAATTACTTCATGCGGTTAGTTTTGCCGTTTCTAGTCCAGCGCCCCTATACGTCGTTCTGTAACCTCCTCCCTCTGTTGCTCCGACATAAAAGCTCGCCCGGCCCTAGTAATCTCTTGTTTCCTTCTCCACCCCCTCTCTATCTTGCACTCATCGCCGCCCCCTCTCTTCCATCTCCGCCCCCTCCGCATTGGCTCTCAGGCCGATGTACTGCCCCCTTTTCCCCACCGGAGAATGCTGCTCTATCCGACGCCAAGGTCGTCCTGGCCAATGCTGGCTACCACGCTATGCAGTCGCTCTCGGGAGCAGAAACATCACGGTGATCCAGGCCACAGTTGTACCGTGTGACTGCGCGTGGCTCTTTCTTCACCATGGAAGCCCTTTTAAATCTGACCATGAAGCCGTCTACATCGTGCTCGGCCTGTGAGGTAATCCACGTTTAGATACTTTCTGAAAATAGGGCTATTTCCTTATAATAGGTAGACATACCCCTCATTTGCACGTTGATTTCACACCAACATCATATCGAAAACTGTACAAGCAGTGTAGTTAATCGGCACGAAATACGTGTAACTCACACATATTTCGTAATTTAGACTATGTTGCTCTACATGTGTAACTAGCATAACTGTGTTTAACTACGCAAGTGGAAAGATTGCCTAGGTAGAGTGACTTATGGCATTTAGCATAGGGCTAGTTATCTTATAGGTGATCTTTAATATGGCAAGAGGGCGCATATGTTACATGTAAAGCCATAACAGCTCCCCGGACTTGGTCTAGAATACTTTATATAAGTTACCAAGGTTCAAGGCTCTGCTATAAGCATGCTGACGAATATTGGTTGGCGTTACTCTTTTCTCCACTTTGGGGTCGTAAAGTGCTTCTCTTTGCTTGCAGCGAGATTTTGACACAGAGTACCCAATACATGATCTTGCACCCGTGACGTGGCAGCCGCAGTGCTGTAACTGCGGGTTGTTCTTCCACCTGCCCTAGGACCTATAGTAATGTTCCCCGCTATAGTCCTGCTTACTTCCAGGAACTATCGCCATGGTTCCAAGAAGCTTTTATGAGAGCAGATTATGTCGTCCCTAGGAACGATCAATATATTCCTAGCTCTATTTATTCACTCTGTGTTTATCCTATGGAGGAGACTGGCCATTCACAATGGATGTATAGTAGTAAATCCACCTGATATCCGGACATGCAAGGCCTTCTTCGAATAGGTTCCCACGGAATACGTGGTCGGGTGGACACGATGCCCATAGTCGAAACGCTCCAAGGATTCCGCAGGGATTTCGAAGCCGCTATAAAGGTCTTGGCGGTGGGGGCCAGAAAAGAGTTTCCATGTGTGTATTGGTCAAGCGGATTTCGAGAAAGACTGTAGCTATATGACCGTGTTCTCTGAAAGACAATTTGCAGATTCAAAAGTGGCGTGGTTTAGATAGAAATCTGTGTGACCCACGCTATTGGCTCAATTTGTACTTTGAGTTCGATGAAACATCGCCTTTTTTCACTTTCCCTTCTTATACGGCTCATCTGTGCTTTGGTCAGTTGATCTCCCTTTACTTCAACCTTATTTGAGGTCTTCTGATGATTATCTGTCGTGTGAATGCCCAGACCCAATTCCCCGTCAACAAAAAGCTTACGCATAACAGGCTTCGGTCTCCCATCCAATAAAGAATTTCTGCAAGTAAGTATTAAAAAGAATCTGTAATACAATTTCGCAAAAGACGACGCAAAAAAGCCACTTTTGATGGTATAACTGCTGCTCTCTGATTTGCAAATTGTGCAGAGCCGTTGTAGGACCATCCCGTCGTGAGACCACCCTAGAACTATCCGGCCTCATGGACTTCATAGATCTCTCATCCGATCCCCCTGGACAACAAGCGCAGTTTTGGCGCGACTCTTCTCGGCAAGGGCATTGATCCAGGTTGCCAGACGCACACCTGCTTTAAAGATTTGTTCCGCAATGACTGGCACGGCATCGTCATAGTATTCGCCCGCAAGATCTTCGCCCTCGAGATTGCTCATCCAACCGTGGGGACTGAAGAGTAGTGCACATAGCTGTTTGTAGAAGTATTTCTAGGCCTTTGAACTATACTTTGAAAATTAGTCTGGCCTAATAAGTAGCGGATTGACCGTGGGCTACCCCGCAGGTTCTCAAATTCCACCTGCTCGCGGTTTGAACAGCCTGGAACAAACCCTGGTCCTAGCGGTTTTTAGGTAACGGGTAACCCCGCGGGTTGTGGCGAGGTCAAGCCCCGACATAGCTTGGCCGCATCAGCTATTTGCACTACCTGTCCTCACCCTCCCGCTCCCTATAGCTAAATGGACAGATTCTGCTCGATCACCGCCAAAATCTAGTCATGTGTATCGTTCTGTCTCATTGTGGTATATAGGGGATCTCCTTCACCCTGGAGTAAACTCGGACTCGGCAAGTCTATAGCAACTTTCTTTTGATATACGAAGCAGGATTCGGGGTATAAAAGTTGTTCTACCCTGGGAGGCCAATGGTGCGATTTGACTGGAAAGTCCGGCCTAAGAAGCTTGCCAATGACAATGAAATTCTGTAGAGACAAATCATCATTCCATCGTTGGGATGACCTACCCATTACGTCAACGAAAGGAATAGCAGGGCCTGTAAGGCTATAAAGCAGGGCTGATTGTATCTTCTAAAGTTACGATATCCATTGAAACTTATTCTGATCACTTAATTCTCCTAAGCTGCCTGTATCTTGGACTGAGACTTTCTATCTCAAAATTCAAACCACATGCCTGTTCCCCACTACGGCGTCTGGGCTTGCCGCCCAACTAGGTATGATGCCGAGGGACACGGAGTACCCACCCCGCACATCGAGCTCTTTTTCACCGATGATACCTCGAAAGAGCGGAAGGCTGCTATCAACGTCAAATCGAACGGTGAAGATTCTCGCCTCGTGTTTTGGGTTTCACGCGACTTCTCCCATCCCATCACCAATCGACTCTCGGAGTTGGACCTAGGCTTTCACCTAGTCCAGGATCCCAACAGTGACGAAGACCGAAATCAGCGCCATTACCGTTACAGCCACTATTATTCACAAGATCCCGATTTAGAGGGTCTCGACTTTATTCGCACGGAGGAACTTGTGGATATTCAATCTGGAGAAGCCCTGCGGCATGACATCCCAGGCCGTGACAATGATATCTTGGACAAAATGAGGCCAATCCTCGATGACGCTATTGACAACTCTGCAACTGCTTTTATCTTTGGGGCCTCCTTCGGATCGGGTATCCATAATATTCATATGAACCAGGGCGGTCTTCCTAAGTATGACAATGGTGTCTACTCGGACGGAGCCGTGCTGTTCAAATTCGACGATGGGCACTGGGAATCAGTGTTTCTGGCCTTTGCTTCGCAGAGGCTCCCAACCGACGGGCAAGGAAAGCCAGAGCGAGGCAGTAAGACCTTGGCGGATATACTTGAGTAGCGCGAGGCACATAATGTGTTAAAAGTCCATTGGTAAAAGCACGGGATTGGTATTATGATTACTTTGTTGCGAACTGGTAAAGTTGATATGGCCATGTTTCTCACCAGAATTTGTATTATTTTCAATAATAAATGTCAAGGAGATTTACAACCGTATTGGATGATGATATTTGTAGACGGCGGATCTGTGAATTGCCTATTCGAGTTAGTTTTGCCTTTTTAGGTTTAGCGCTCCAATACACCGTCACGTAAACTCCCTTCGATGCCCCCTTCCATAAGTGTCCACAATCACGTGGTGTGATTGGTTTTATTGCTCATGTGCCCGCCCCCTTGGTCGCTACTCCCATACCCCCATGTTCCCCGATCAACAAGTGTTTAGTTCGGGATGGCATTAACTCTTCCGGCTGGATAAATACGGCAGTTTTCGACGATATGTTTCACTTTTATGAATTGGATATGGTCTTGGATGTCTTCGCTACCACGTCTGATCAGTTGGCCTCCTGTTGGAGATGTTGAAATGGCCCTCCGCACTCCCCTGCCCTGTCTGCCAGGATGTTGCCTGACGTTTTAACAATAGGGAGAAGAGCAACTCAGCTTAGTCGACGGGTATTCAGATGGTATCGAGCCTAACGTGGGCTATTCCAGCTCGAGGGATGCCCAAGACCAGCTTATCTCAGGAGGAATCACTAGAATTGTAGAGCTCGTTGATGATAGCACTGCGCTTAAGGCACCATATCCAGGCTGTGAGATCCATATCACAGATATCGCCAAAGAAGCCAGCATATATCGTCGCATTAGACCATATAAGAGGCTTGTTCGGATGCTAGGTCATTCCAAGGAAGGTCTCGTGCTTCAATATATAAAAGCCGGTGGTCTCAAGACATGTCTTCAGGCTCGCGACTCGATATCGACAAGCCTCGAATTAAAGTGGGCATACCAAGTCGTAGAGGTCGTCGACCTTATATATAGGAACGTACGATAACAAACCACGAAATTTTCTATTAGACACGACTTTCGATATCAAATATCAAGATTATTAACTTCTCTAGCTCTTCACTAGATGGTTTAAAGCCTGCCTCTAGTGAAGGAACCCGGTTCTTCCTTCCACGGCATTAGAGAGATCAACCGACGGTCGCTACAGATCTTTTTGCTTTAGGTTCGACTCTCTACGAGATTTCTTAAGGCACCAGCCCGTATAAGGAAATTCTTAGTGATAAGGTTAAGAGACTCTTTACTTAGAAAGAGTTCCCTAATATAGTTGGTATACGTTGTGACGATTAGCGGGGTGCTAGAAACGGCTCCTACTGCGCCGCCGATCTGCCGCCCCGACCGCCTGTCCGGGTCCGCTAATCCCCTTCT